AACAAACCAAGCTTGGATACTGATGATAAATTCCGCCCCTAATTTTGCATTACACTACCCGATTTCGCTGTTACTCCAGAAAATATATATTGCTGATAAGGAAAGTGGTAATGTAGGAAAAAATAATGTAAAGATGTAATTGGACTTGTGATTTATAAACTATTGTGTTTAGTTTAATTAACTTGTATAAAGACTTCTGCACTTCGCGTCTAGATCATTGAAAACGTCAGCCATGTTTGCACTATCTGATTTACTCGTGTCTGATTGGTCAGTTCCTGGGAAGACCGCCCATTAACCTCTCTGCCCCGGCATTTCTTGCATTCATGAACATTAGCTGGCTGACGTTTCTAATGGCTACACTTGGCATTGGTTTCCTGAACCCGCAAAACTTCCGCTTTCCATATTTCAAAAACTTTCCAAACATCAACATGAGAGCTTTGTGGAAAATTCTTGTAAACATCCACTTTTAATAGAGAATAGAATTATATAATGATCTTGCAACTGGCCAATACGACATCGTCGTCCTCTGTTGGTTACCCAGCCACGTTGGCATTTCTGGGGAATACATACATCCGTGATCTGACGCAAAGAAGTGGGACACACGAAGTAGGTATCAATAAATTGCATGAAATAAAACCCTCTATCGGTTACACTTACTTGGGTTGTCAGTCCAGATTTGAAGAGGTCATCATACGACGATGTCGTATTGGCCACACAAGATATACTCATGAGAGTACCTATTGAAGGTGAGGATCCTCCGTTTTGAATCCCTTGTGATGAAGGAATCACAGTCAAGCATGTCCTGCTTGACTGTGTTGAATATTCCATCACAAAGGGATACGTATTTAATGTCAAAACATTGAAGGATCTTTTTTTATAATGTTAATTATCATTTTAATAGTTGAATTTTTAAAAGAATTAGATTTGTTAACTGATTTGTAAATAGATAAATATTTTATTATTGGTAATTTAAATTAGTAACTGAGATTGTTAGTGGCTGTACCCTCAAGGGGTTGACGTAGCGTAAAATTATTGTCCTCCTGAGGAGGGTACGGTCCCAAAACTTTCAAAAGTAAAATATAAATTATCACATTTTAAACGTAGTATTTTTGTTATTTTAACTGTTGGCTAAATTTTCCTACAATCGCCAGCGGCTGAAGGGATGGTGTAATTCCAGCTAGGATTCATGCGGGTAGCAAAAGTAATGTAAGTCCCCATGGCTCTAGCATGGTGATCTACCTTCAGTTGGTGGCGATCTATAGCCCATTTTATATATTGTGTTGTCCCCTATGGTTAAAATGTTTTTAGATCAAATTACTAGTTTTACATGTATATCTGTGATACTCTAGTTGCTTTACTGTCCTTCGTCGGCAGGTGTTTTATAACATACATATATTTTATTTCAATATCAAATGTTCTCGTTACGATATGGCTCAAATATTGCCGATGTGACGTTAAATTTTAACTTACTCACTCACTTTGTGGAAAAACGTACCGAAATTCATATGAACAACAATAATAAATCTACAAATATAAAGTTAAAATGATACTTTGAAATATTGTTTGTTCTACATCGGTGTATGCCGATCGTGACGCCATACAGTACCAACTGATTGATAAAACCAATTAGAAATCCCCAAATCATTATTAATAATTCTTATAAGTCATGGGTTTTCATTTACAAATTACTTCTAAAGATACTAAGTCCCGGTGAATATATTCTGCCATCCTCACCTGTAGAGTTATCCTCGCTCAGAAGGTATTAGCTGTAAGGTGTCAGAGAAAATGCAGGCAGATTGACCGTAGCGTCTCCCTTTAATCCCTAATTACAATGACGTCACAATCTGGATGCACCCGCTGCAGTGACCGTGACTATCAGATAGCATTCTGACGTTGGCCCAACGTAATCGTGACCGTTAGACCCAACGTTGGCAACTAAAAACGTTGCCCAACGTTGGTTCAACATTGGCAAAGAAACGTTGGCCCAATGTTGGATCAACGTCTGTTTCGATCCTCAATACCTCTTACCTACCCTGAAATGTTTGTACAAATCTCGCAATGCCTATCACATAGCAAGCAATACATTCTTCAAGTTGAATTCAAACTCTCTCTGTCTTTGCTGGACACCACTGGACAGCTTTATGTAAAGCTCAAGAAAAATTTAAATTGTTTCTGAATACAATTAGTTAAAATATTATGCATATTTCAAAACAACTTTCAAGTCTATATAAATCACAAACGATATTAAAAATAGTTCATTTTATAAATAGATAACCATTAGGCCATAGGCCCTGGAAAAAAATCATAACACAATGATTTGAAACATTAAATTTTTCTTGGCCTTACCCAGACATTTTAACACCAAGGGCAAGAGTGAGAGCAGCAAAATAGTCTCTGGATCTGATGCCCCACAATCCATTTTTTCTTGATCAGTTAAAAGTTTGATGATGACAGCAACAAAATGAACAAAGATAATTCTGGTTTAGATGATCTTCATTTATTTCTTAAATTACAAGTCAGGACTTGGACTGAGTGGCAGGGCATCCTTATATATTTTCAGTTATCAGATGAGGAGGAGAAAGAAATAATCACAGGAGATCTTCATCTGTATACAAGGTCTGTGCTTGTGCCTTGGCCTCTGAATAAAATAAATGGCATAAACATCTAATGACTTCGTAAGACATCTATTATTGATGTAAACAAACATTGGCTACCTTTTAAAACATCAATGGATATCTGGTGTCACTGAATCACATGAGAGAGAAGTACTTATATGATTTGGATATATCAAGTTTTAAAATTAAGTTTTATTTAGATATTTTTCATTCTGGAAGATGTTTCCACATTTTTTTGCATTGTACATACCTTTTGTATGGGTACATCAGCTGTCACCACTCCTTCATGTTCTGTACTTCACGGGAATATGCTGCCACAAGCTGTAAACATCACCTGCACAGAAACCACAAGCTATGACTTTCTTACTTTAACCAATATAGATTAACCCCATTTCTGAAAAGAATGATGTAACTGACCATGGTGTCAGTTTAAAGTAGATATGGTGATTACTGTAAAGTAGTAAATTTACCTTTCAATTGTATCTTACATTCTATTAAAACTGGTAAATCAAATATAGAATAAATGCAAAATAAAAAATGTTTTGTAGTTATTCAGATGTTAGAGAGGAAATTTGTAAAATAGCATAAGCTTTGATGATATCATAAAAGTCGAAAAGCAATGCAGTCGTATCAACTACATGTATATATGTTTTGCATACTGAGCGACTTTGTTTCCATAGACATCCGTGTTACTTTCAGTTTAGCATAAATAATTTTCACTGATTTAATTTTGGTAAGATGCTAGTCAAATTTTGCACATTCGTGAGGAATAATCTTACCTACTATCACATACTTTCTGCTGCTTATTTATCGAATGGCATTGGCAACAATTATTTAAATAGTGGTCGGAAAATTGAACTAAAATTATGTGGGCAGGAGCCAAGCTTATTTCACATTTGCCTGTCTGAGTGTCAAATTTTTCAAAGATCCATCCTAAACTCACTTCGTGAAAATTATTTATGCTGCACTGGAATAACATGTTAGCCTATAGAAATTACGTGAAGTGTCCGAATATAACGGGCACGAGTCTGTACACGCCCAGACGGTGATCGAAAACTGAACTCGCGATTCGCTTACCAGTGAAGCTCCGCACGACGAGTGTACGGGATGACTGGTACTGTAACTGTAATATTTTTACCGTTGCCACAATCAACCATCATATAACAAATGCCACATACGGGATCATTCGGTGGTCATGTAGGTGGATGGACAACTCGTGATCTCCGGCGCAATACAGCGAGCAGGCGGGGTCACTCGCCGACTTGTAACTTTAAAACTTATATGCACTCTCGATCGCAACGAACTAATTGATACTGACAAGCTCGATTTTCTTTTGATGCTGGAATGCTGCATTTTTCAAAGCCACCAGTGTGATCACATACATGTACTGATTGGGTTTCAGTCATGAATTTCCTTAGCCGAGAACCGCGATGTGGTCATTTTAACAGTCATGACATGTTTTCAATTTCAAGTAAATAATCATTCACGTTGGTATTTCTGAATGAACCATGACTGTTTTCGGTGGGCACAGTTCGGAAATAAATTGAACATAATAAAAACACCAAATGAAACACTTACCGCTATATATTCGAGGAAACCTGTACTCCGGTGGCCAAGCTTGTGATCATGTCGCGTCGTCTGCTCGAAGAATGTGAGCGCCCTCTGGGAAAAGCTAACAGTTTGGAGTAGCGTCCTTTAATAAAATATCCGCGAGGCTTCCCCGATGTTGGGCCAACGTCAGACCAGCGTATGAAATCCGACCGCGACGTTGCCAACCATTGCCAACGTTGGGCAAACGTCGGAATGCTATCTGGGTATGCGAGAGATACGTAAACGAAGATGGCGGCGCCCATAAAAACACTTGTCATCTCTACGCTATTTGACGATTCTGGCAACAACTATAGGGCTGACGCACATATATTATCTTGATGGTAGAGTTATAAACGTATTCTCTACATGCCGGGGAACTATTTTAATGATGTACAAATGCTTCCCTAATGTAATAATCTAACCTAATACTCAACCGGAAGTATGATGGACATTCGGTTTGACAGATTACGTGTCGAATGACCAGAATGTTAAAAGTTAGGTTGAGCTTTACGCCACATCGGCATTATTCCAGCCATAAAGTGACGAGATCATTTCCATTCATTACCATTTTAAAGTCCAAGGTCTAAAAAGAGGTATATTTTAAATACGGTGATATTCATTACCTTTCTATTTCGAAACAGAAAATGTCATAGCACCAAATACAAAAGCAAGCAATTTCTTATTCTCTTTACACAAAGTTACAATTTATGATACAGGTCAACTTCCCTCTTTCAGATTTCTCGCATCATATAATGTGCATCCCTTGCAGTCGAAAAGTCCACACAGTCGAGCAGAAGATGCTTGATGGTGAACACTTCTACGTCAAGAATAAGCTGATCTCTCCCTATTGCGCTTCAGTAGGAAGTCCATTGTCATATTTCCACTGACAGCGAAACATGACAAGGAGCGTTGTCATCTTGGAATATCCACGGTATGTTTGTGACATATTATGTAATAACAGGCAATAGATTTTCACCAAGGACGTCAATATGCACTTTTTGTGTTCCATCGACAAATGTACCGTAATTCTTCCAACACCATGGTATGTTATGCAGCCCCCGACCATCGCTGACATCACATTCCGGTTGTCCCGGACGATTTTACAACTAAACATTCGGAGTAATTGCACATTTCATTCCCCTCAAACAAAATCTTCTGATTACTTCCGATTGGAACACGGAATATATTTTGTTTCAATTATCTCTCCCCACATTGCAGTTTGGTGCTGCAAAATCGGAGTCGACGCTCTCTGTTCACAGGTAATATCGTACTTTGCATGGACACTTGTATGTGCTTATATAATATAATAATATTCCCCGAACAGTTCGAGAAGACACTGTTTGATGTATTTGTGAATTCAAAATGTCAGTAATGTTCTGTAAACTACGACGCCGATTTCGTTTTACAAGACGGAAATATCGTCCCTGGCACTTCGTTGCGACGATTTTTCTCGGCCGTCCGTTTTCGGTCTGTTTTCACAAGAACCAGTGTCACGAAAGCGTTTTAAATATTTCTGGACTGTTATACGGGATTATGCCGGTAATGTCTGCAATTCCATAGTTACATTTTCCTTGCTCAATCAGAGACACAGTTATTTATTTCTGATCAGGGGGATACCTTCACGGCCGTGGACAGGCATCACGTAGCAGAAGATAAAAAAATGTAAATTAAAGGGGTTAACTGTTTAAATACTTGTGTTAGACTGCATTCCCAGTGAATCACTTTTCTGCTTAGTTCAAGCAAACTTGCATCTTTTTTTTCTTTTTGTTTTTTCATGTTTTATTCCCAGAATTATGTTTACAGACTTTACCTCAGTAGTACAGTACAGGTAGCTTCTTAGTATGCAAGTACAGTGTTTCTTGATCTCATTGTCAAATAACATGCTGTTCACATATATGTAAAAACGGTCAAAAACTAAGCATGTATATGAAGTGTTACATGTTTACAGATTTTACCTCGGTAGTACACAGTCAGGAACAAATAGTTTCATTGTACACAAGTACAGTGTTTCCTTTGTCACTCACTGTAACATCATGCTTTTCCCAAATATGCAAAATGGTCAAACTAAGCATGTATATGAGTGTTACATGTTTACAGATTTTACCTCAGTAGTACAGTACAGTACAAGTGGCCTCAGAGTACACAAGTACAGTGTTATCTTGATCATATTGTCCCATATCATGCTTGCATCTTACTCATCAATGCATCATGACATTCTATGTTAGTGTTATTGATAATAAGTTCTTAGACATGTTGGTTAGAGACATGTTAAGGAGAAGCAGTTATTTCAAATGAAATACAATTACCAAATATATTAAGGCTTTGTTATCTTTTTATTTTTAAAACTTTACTCAAACTTCCTTGAGATCAGTTCACGCTATGGCCACTAGGCCATGTTCAACAATACATGGAAGTTGTGGTGGCTGGGAGGGTTAGGCTGGCGATTAGGTGCCTGAGTCTTTGACGCTGTGGGTTCAAATCCCAGATGGGACTCAACCCAAACAAAAGTACTAGAACCTGTACTTTACTAAGAGAGTGTAATCCCACATATATGTTAAATACATGATCGACATCTCTGTCAAAAAGCTCAAAACATTTCAATATGTTCATGACAACAGAATCATGAAAGTCATTGGTCATGAATATGGCAATACTCTAATAACAACAGTTACTTTACAAGTGGTTTGTCAAAATTGCATAACTGAGCACAAACTTGTACACTTTGATTAATAAGCTTCTTGGATTTCAGTGGGAAAATACCTTGTAAAAATTTAAGGTTCTTGAGGCGACCAATTGCCCTTTCAACGTGTATTCGAGCATGGGCTGGTTTTCTAAACAGCTGCTTTGTAAAAGCTTACCATGCGCAAAGGTGGTATGTTTAATGTACATCCTCTTAATGCTAAAGAGATCCCTAATCAAAAAAACCCTGACAGCCATTATGTCATCACCATAGTTTAAGTTATCAAGGAAACCTGATTCTTTAACAATGCGCCTATCTGACACTGAACCAGACCACAGTGGAGAGATGTAAAGTAAATGCACCTGTTGGGAAATAGCAGCCAGACATTTAAAAGGTATTGTGATGTTTGTACCAGTGACCAAGGTCACTCTCGGACTAGATGGCAATGAGGGTTTCTGTACGAAATTCTATACAGTCTATAATGGCAATAGTCTTTTAAAATATCTAAATACCTTTGGGAGAATTGAATTGAACCTGCAGTCTGATTGGCCCACTTAACAATAAAACTGAAGCTCCTTGATAGAAACTTGATAGAAAATGTATGTCCGGAAGTAACGGTTAACTGTCGATGATGATATGCCAAACAGATCCACTCAAAATGGTCGACATCAAGGCCACGTTAGTGAGTTAGTATTTAACGTCACATCGGCAATATTTCAGCCATATCGTGGCGAGAACATTTCACATTGTAATGGAATATGTATATATTATAAAACCTGTCATCGAAGGACAGTAAAAGCAACTAGAGTATCACAGATATATATATATGTAAAACTAGTAATTGAATCTAAAACATTTTAACCATAGGGGACAACACAATATAAAAATAGGCTATAGATCACCAACAACTGAAAGTAGGTCACCATACTAGGGTCCATGGGGACTTACAGTACCTTTGCTACCTGCATGGACCCTAGTTGGATTTACACTATCCCTTCAACCGCTGGTGATTGTAGGATAATTTAGCCGAAATCTAAATGAACAAAAATACTACGTTTAAAAACTTGGTATGTGAAAATTCTACTTTGAAAGTTTTGGGACTTACGTACCCTCTCAGGAGGACAATAATTTTACACTACTTCAACCCCCTTTGAGGGTACAGCCACTAACAATCTAAGTTACTAATCTAAACTACCAATCATTAAAATACATCTATCTACAGAACATGTTAATCAGAATTCATCAATGAAGTCAATTTCTTTTAAAAAACCAATAATTAAATGAGAATTAACAGTAGTAAAAAGATCCTTAAGTGTTTTTCACACTGAAATATTTATCCCTTATGATGGAGAATTCAACACAGTCAAGCAGGATATGTGACCGTAACTAGTCATCACAAGGGATACAAAACGGAGGATCTTCACCTTTAGCAAGTATTTATGAGTATAACGCGTATGGCCAATGCGACATCGTCGCATAATGACCTCTTGAAATCTGGACTGGCAACCCAAGTAGGTATAACCGATGGTTGGTTGAATTGCATGTAATTTAATGATACCTACTTGGGCATCCCACTTCTTCTGCATAAGATCACGGATGTAAGTTCTAATGCAAGCTTTGTAATCAGAGTATGGAATAAGAAGTGGTGTCACAGATTTGTTGAGTGCTGCCTTAGCAGCAAGATCAGCCATTGTGTTCCCAGAAATGCCAACGTGGCTGGGTAACCAACAAAAGACGATGTCGCATTGGCCAGTAGCAAGTTCATTATACAATTCAATAATTTCTAATAAAAGTGGATGCTTACAAGAAAGATTTTTTAATAGCCTGAAGACAAGAAAGAGAGTCAGAAAAGATGATATATTGTTTATGTTTGGGATGTCGTTGAATATATTTAAGAGCCGTTAATATGGCGTTTGCTTCTGCTGTAAAAATGGAGCTGTTATCTGGTATTCTAGAAGATATTGTTCTGGATCCAATGACCGTGGCACATGACACCGCGCCACCGTCCTTGGACCCATCTGTAAATAAGGATTTGTGTGTATTATATTTTAGATTTTAGTTGATTATATTCTTGTTTATATTGTAATTCATTAGTTTCTGATTTCTTAAACTGTGTCAAAGTAAGGTCAACTTCAGGGCCTAACCAGTTGCCAAGGAGGAGAAGAAAGAAGACGGGAAGGAGCTATATTTCCCAGCTCAATGCCGGCAGCGGACAGGAATGGCTTAATTCTGTGCCCAAGAGGCGGAACAAGAGAAGGTTTTTTATTGTATAAATCCTCATAGAGGGGATGAAAGACACAGTTAAATGCAGGGTTAGACTCGCTAGAATATAGTTTAGTAATGTATTGTAAGGATAATTTTATCCGACGTTGTGTAAGAGAAGGCTCATCTGCTTCAACATATAGACTA